GCTCAAGCCTGTAATCCCAGCACTTTGGGAGGCCGAGGCGGGTGGATCACGAGGTCAAGAGATCGAGACCATCCTGGTCAACATGGTGAAACCCCGTCTCTACTAAAAATACAAAAAATTAGCTGGGCATGGTGGCGTGTGCCTGTAATCCCAGCTACTCAGGAGGCTGAGGCAGGAGAATTGCCTGAACCCAGGAGGCAGAGGTTGCGGTGAGCCGAGATCGTGCCATTGCACTCCAGCCTGGGTAACAAGAGCGAAACTCCGTCTCAAAAAAAAAAAAAATGTAAATATAAACCTGTCAGCTGCTCCACCCAACCCCTCAAAGGCTTCCCACAGCCTCTTAGGATAAAGGGCTGACGGCAGCAGCCCTAGATGGGCTTCTGGCTACCTCTCTGGGTTCCAGCCTTCCTGGTCTTTCAGCTCCTCACAGATGCCCAAAAATGCTAGTATCATCTCTGAAAGGCCTAGCTCTTTGCTGGAATGTTAACTCCCTCCCCTCCACTCTTCCTACATAACTCCTACTCCTTTCACTTCCTTAGGGAAGTCCTTGAATCCCTAGACTGAGTTGCAGACATTCCAAAGCCCCCTGTGCTCCCCCTTTTATTAACATTTACCATACTTGAAAGTCTTTGATCGCCACCTGTCTTCCCTGCTAGTCTGCAAGCAACACCAACCAGCACAAGCACCTGATGTGCCTATACTGTTCACAGCTTCACAGCTATGTTCCAGGCCACAGCAATGTTTAATCAGTGAGCATTTGTTGAACAGATTAGGGTTCTCTCCTGATGGTAGAGGTGGTGGCTGCAGAGCTGGGGGTTTGTGGCTCATAAGTACCTGATGCTCCAGCTCCAAAGCCCCCATCTGTTACCCCCACCAGAGCCAATAGCTGTGTGGGAAAACCATTCCAATGAAGATCAGTTGGTCTGAGGACTGCTTCAAGGAGGAATCCCAGGCTGGGCGCGGTGGCTCACACCTGTAATCCCAGCAGGTGGGAGGATTACACCTGTAATCCCAGCACTTTGGGAGGCCAAGGCAGGTGGATCACCTAAGGTTGGGAGTTGGAGACCAGCCTGACCAACATGCAGAAACCCCACCTCTGCTAAAAATACAAAATTAGCCGGGCATGGTGGCGCACGCCTATAATGCTATCTACTGCGGAGGCTGAGACAGGAGAATCACTTGAATCTGGGAGGTGGAGGTTGTGGTGAGCCAAGATCGTGTCATTGCCCTCCAGCCTGGGCAACAAGAGCAAGACTCCGTCTCAAAAAAAAAAAAAAAAAAAAAAGCTGTGAAGTGTAAACGGGGGGCCAAGACAGAGCCCAGGGAGATGTCTGACTAAATGAGAACTGTCTGCCAAGGCAGGGGCGCAGAGGTGTAGAGGATGGCCTGAAGGTAATAGGCTAGTGGTCTAGGATTTGGGCAATCACTTGATTTTTCTTTTTCTTTTTTTTCAGTCTCGCTCTGTCACCCAGGCTTGAGTGCAGTGGCGCAATCTCAGCTCACTCCCACCTCCGCCTCCTGGGTTCATGCAATTCTCCTGCTTCAACCTCCCAAGTAGGTGGAATTACAGGCACCTGCCACCACGCCTGGCTACTTTTTTTGTATTTTTAGTAGAGACAGGGTTTCACTATGTTGGCCAGGCTGGTCTTGAACTCCTGACCTCAGGTGATCTACCCCACCCCACCCCCCTCAGCCTCCCAAAGTGCTGGGATTACAGCCATGAGCTACCGCACCTGGCCTGGGGAATCACTTTAAATGTCAGGTCTGTACTCAGGAAGGGCACAGGAAATTGGAGCAGAGTCACAGACCCTTCCCACCTCTGAAGTCCATCAGTAGTCCTACGGAATGTTTATCTGTGTAGAGCCCAGGACGGTTTCTCAGACTTGCTCTAACTTCTTTGCAAGCATCCAATTTCAGATTACCCTGAACTAACCATGAACCAGAGGAGATGCTATGTGACTTTTCTTTTTTTTCCCAGCTGCTTTCTCTTTGTTCTCTCATTAAGAGAGGCAGGAGAAATAATGTTAAAAAAAAAAAAAAAAAAAAAGGGCCAGGTGCAGTGGCTCATGCCTGTAATCCCAGCACCAGCACTTTGGGAGGCCCAGTCTAGTGGATCACCTGAGGTCAGGAGTTCAAGACTAGTCTGGCCAACATGGTGAAACATCATCTGCACTAAAATTAGTACATACAAAAATTAGCCAGGCATGGTGGCAGGTGCCTGTAATCCCAGTTACTTGGGAGGCTGAGGCAGGAGAATTGCTTGAACCTGAGAGGCAGAGGTTGCAGTGACCTGAGATTGCGCCATTGCATTCCAGCCTGGGCAAAAAGAGGGAAACTCCATTTCAAAACAAACAAACACCAGAAGTTTTCTACATAGCCTTAGGACAAAAGTGCCCACTGAGGAAAGAATCTAAGAATTCAAATGTAAACTTTCCTGGAAAACACCACACACAGAACAATATTTTCTGAGCCTATCTCACTAACTGGTAACACCCTGTCTGACTATGCACTTCTTGAGGTGTGGAAAACGTCTGATCATGAAAAGTCCACTAAACATTACATTTGGGATGTTAGAGGGTACTTGTCAGGGGGGTTTCCAAACTATGGCCTAGAGCAGGGGTGTCCAAATCTTTTGGCTTCCCTGGGCCACACTGGAAGAAGACAAATCGGGCCATACATAAAATACACCAACAATAGTGATAGCTGATGAACAACAACAACAACAAAAAAAAAATCACAAAAAAATTTCATGGTTTTTTTTTTTTTTTTTCCTGAGACGTTGTCATGCTCTGTCCCCTAAGCTGGAGTGCAGTGGCACAATCTCAGCTCACTGCAACCTCGATCTTGTAGGCTCAAGGGAGTCTCTTGTCTCAGCCTCCCAAGTGTTGAAATGTGTGCTCTGAATGAAGAGACCCCCAAACAGGTTTTGTGTGAGCAACATGGCTGTTTATTCGCCTGGGTGCAGGTGGGCTGAGGTTAAAAACGGCATTAGCAAAGAGTGGTGGGGTAGGAGTTGGTTTTATACGTTTGGGGTGGGCAGTGGAAAGTTACAGTTTAGGGCGTTTTTTTGCAAGCTGGGAGGGGGGCCATAGGGTGTGGAGTCACAAGGTTGACGAAGGTCAGTTACAAAGTCCAATTGCCCTATCAATTAGGGCAGGAATAAGGAACAATAGAGAATGTCTCAAAGTTAAGTAGACGTCGCAGGGGTTGATCATTTATTTCTCTTTTCATGGTCTTTCAGTCACTTTAGATTTTCAGAAACTCGTCTGGAGTGTCCCTGCAGGTCACAGAGGTTAATGTGGTGTCACGGTCAGTCAGCCTAAAAGACCTTAAGCTAAGTAGCTGGAATTACAGGCATGCACTATCACCCCTGGCTAATTTTTTTTTTTTTTTTTTTTTTTTTGAGAGAGGGTTTTTCACTTGTTTCCCAAGGCTGAGTTGTCATGGCGCGATCTCGGCTCACCGCAACCTCCACCTCCTGGGTTCAGGCAATTCTCCCGCCTCAGCCTCCTGAGTAGCTGGGATTACAGGCACGCGCCACCATGCCCAGCTAATTTTAATTTTTTATTTTTAGTAGAGATGGGATTTCTCCATGTTGGTCAGGCTGGTCTCGAACGCCTGACCTTAGGTGATCCATCTGCCTTGGCCTCCCAAAGTGCTGGGATTACAGGAGTGAGTCACCAGGCCTGGCCAATCTTATCATGTTTTAGGACAGTTCACAAATTTATTTTTGGCCACATTCAAAGTTCTTCTGGGCCACATTCAGCCTGTGGGCTGTGGGTTGGACAAGCTTAGCTTAGAGTGTGGTGGCTAGGAATGTGGACCCTGAAGTCAGATAGCTTGGGTTCCTATCTTTGCTCTGCCACTGACTAGGTATGTGACCTTGGGCAAGTGACTCAACCTCTCTAAGCCCCAGTTTTATGATCTGTAAAAAAGGTAAATAGTAACTTGTTTCTTTCTTCACTGGGTCTTGGGGTGTGGATGAAACAAAGTATGTAAAATTGTACTTTTTAAAAAGATTGATTGATTTAGAAAAACAAAAACACATGCACATATATGAATTTCAGGATCCCATAGTGAGTCCCTGGCTTCCTAGGAGTTCACACTAATACTTGCCCAATATATTCATAAAGAGGAAAAACAGGCTGGGCGGGGCTCACGCCTATAATCCTAGCACTTTGGGAGGCTGAGGTGGGTGGATCACCTGAGGTCGGGAGTTCAAGACCAGCCTGGCCATCATGGTGAAACCCCATCTTAAAAAAAAAAAAAAAAAACGGAGGAAAAACAAGGGCCAGAGAGAGGAAGTGACTTACCCAAGATCACAGAGAAATTTAGTGGCATAGACTGCTTAGGATTTAGGTTCTGAATTTCATTCATTCATTTTTTTTTTTTTTTTGGGACGGAGTTTCGCTTTTGCTACCCAGGCTGGAGTGCAATGGCGCGATCTCGGCTCACCGCAACCTCCGCGTCCTGGGTTCAGGCAATTCTCCTGCCTCAGCCTCCTGAGTAGCTGGGATTACAGGCATGTGCCACCATGCCCAGCTAATGTTTTGTATTTTTAGTAGAGACGGGGTTTCACCGTGTTGACCAGGATGGTCTCGATCTCTTGACCTCGTGATCCACCCGCCTCGGCCTCCCAAAATGCTGGTATTACAGGATTGAGCCACCACGCCCGGCCATTCATTTTTTTTTTTATTAGAGAACCCACAGTTCAGTTTTATTCAGAGCAAAGAAAAAAGAAACTTTCAATCATACTAGAAGAAACTCAGCCATAGATTTGGAATCTGTACTGAAACTACACATGCAATGAGGACAATATTCTGCTAATACAATTGACTTACTGCTGCATTTGTCTATTTTTTTTTTTTTTTTTTTAAAGATGGGGTTTCACCATGATGGCCAGGCTGGTCTTGAACTCCTGACCTCAGGTGATCCACCCACCTCCGCCTCCCAAAGTGCTAGGATTCCAGGTGTGAGCCACTGCCCCTGGCCTGTTTGCCTAATATTAACAATTATAAACGGAGCGGTGCAAGTAGTATTTGGAACAATCCTTACAGTGTTGCAGTGTCAGGCACAACATTTCACTTCTCTTCACCCCACTGGTTCTCTTTGCGTACCTGGGCTTCCTCCCCTTCAGTAAAGTCATTTTTGATATTGAAGGTCTTGCGAATCTCCTCAGGAGTTTTCCCCTTGATCATATTGGCAACAGTCTTGCATGGAATATCAAGCAAACCTTTGATGTCTAAGAAGTTTGCAGCCAGAATGAGTTCAAAAAGTGTTCCTTGGTCAACTTTCAGGAATTCTTGGTCCCTAACAGGAATATCATCTGTTCGCTTTTCTTTGTTCTCATTATCCTCAGGAGGAGGAGGGTCATCGTTGTGGTGGGTGCACCACTGAATGACCTTTTTTTTTTTTTTTTTTTAAAGATGGGGTTTCACCATGATGGCCAGGCTGGTCTTGAACTCCTGACCTCAGGTGATCCACCCACCTTGGCCTCCCAAAGTGCTAGAATTACAGGCGTGAGCCACGGCACCCGGCCTGAATTACCTTTTTTAATATTGCTGCATTAACATTTGGTAGAGGAACTGGGTCATCATCTCCTTCATCATCCATTCCCAAATCTTCCGACATGGTCTTGATAGTCACAGATTGTTTGGCAATTTCCACATCAACTTCAAATATCTCTCCATCAGAACTCTGCAATTTAATTGAAGGCATGGTGTTCGGTGTTAAGGAGACACTGGCCGGAGGCTGACAAGAGCTATGAGGCATCAGCGAAGGAAGAGAAAGTCGGAGGACGAAGCCACTACCTCATTCATTCATTTATTCAAGACAGAGTCTCTGTCATTCAGTCTGGAGTGCAGTGCGACAATCACAGCTCACTACAGCCTCAATCTCTGGGGCTCAAGTGGTCCTCTGGCCTCAGCCTCCCAAGTAGCTGGGATTTATAGGCATGAGCCTGAGCCCAGTCAGGTTTTTTTTCGTTTTTGTTTTCTTTTGGAGAAAATATTAACAGTACAGGTTTTTTAATGTCTTTTTTTTTTTTTTTTTTTTTCTGAGAGACAGAGTTTCGCTCATGTTACCCAGGCTGGAGTGCAATGGGGCGATCTCAGCTCACTGCAACCTCTGCCTCCCAGGTTCAGGCAATTCTCCTGCCTCAGCCTCCTGAGTAGCTGGGATTACAGGCACGCGCCACCATGCCCAGCTAATTTTTTTTTTTTTTATATTTTTAGTAGAGACAGGGTTTCATCATCTCGGCCAGGCTGGTCTTGACCTTCTGACCTCGTGATCTACCCACCTTAGCCTCTCAAAGTGCTGGGATTACAGGCCTGAGCCACCTCGCCCAGCCTATATTTTTTATTCTACTTTAAGTTCTGGGATACAAGTGCAGAATGTGTAGGTTTGTTCCATAGGTATACATGTGCCATGGTAGTTTGCTACACCTATCAACCCATCATCTCGGTTTTAAGCTACGAATGTATTAGCTATTTGTCCTAATGCTCTCCCTCTCCTTGCCCTCCACCCCTGACAGGCCCCAGTGTGTCATGTTCCCCTCCCTGTGCCCATGTGTTCTCATTGTTCAATTCCCATTTAAGAGTGAGAACATGTGGTGTTTGGTTTTCTGTTCCTGTGTCAGTTTGCTGAGGATGATGGCTTCCAGCTTCATCCATGTCCCTGTGCAAAGGACATGATCTCATTTATTTTTTATGGCTGCAGGTATCTGAATTTCTCAGTGGACTTTTTGCAGTATGCCTTGCTGGACATCTTCCCAGGGTAGGGCTACCAATGTCCTACTAAAGTTTGAGTGCCCCAGGAATCAGAGGGATGAGAGCAAGATAAAATAAAGCTGAATTGCCTTTCCCTACTTCAGCCTGTCTTTGTCAGGAAAGTGGTTTCAAGCAAGGCAGTGGTAATGGGCTGGATTTAGAGTTAGGCTGTTAGTGGGCAGCTCTGAATAAGACAGAGAATCCTAAGGTAGTCAAAACTACTGTAAATCAAAGTTGCTGACTAACCTGAAACATGACACAGAAAAACAGAAATGTGAAATAATAAGGCCTTGTATTTCTTGCATTCTTATTTATTTATTTATTTTTGGAGACAAGGTCTCAAGTATGTTGCCCAGACTGGAGTGTACTGGTGCAATCATGGCTCCCTGTATCCTTGACCTTCTGGCCTCAAGGGATCCTCCCATCTCAGTCTCCTAAGTACCTGAGACTAAAGTGTGCACCACTAGGCACACTAAATTTTTCTTTTTCTCTTTTGTAGAATCGGTATTCTTGCTGCATTTCCCAGGATGATCTGTAACTCCTGGGCTCAAGCAGTCCTCCTACCTTGGCCTCCCAAAGTGCTGGGATTACAGGTGTGAGCCAATATGCTCAAAGTCACCTTGAAACATATAATATAGTTTGAATGTATCTCACCTTTCTTTCTTTCTTTTTTTTTTTTTAAAGATGGGGTTTCACCATGTTGGTCAGGCCGGTCTTGAACTCCCGACCTCAGGTGATCCACCCGCCTTGGCCTCCAAAGTGCTTGGACTACAGGCGTGAGCCACCATGCCCGGCGTATCTCACCTTTCTTTATTTTTATTTTTATTTATTTTTATTTATTTATTTATTTATTTTATTTTTTTTTTTGAGACGGAGTTTCACTCATGTTACCCAGGCTGGAGTGCAATGGCGCGATCTCGGCTCACCGCAACCTCTGCCTCCTGGGTTCAGGCAATTCTCCTGCCTCAGACTCCTGAGTAGCTGGGATTACAGGCACGCGCCACCATGCCCAGCTAATTTTTTGTATTTTTAGTAGAGACGGGGTTTCACCATGTTGACCAGGATGGTCTCGATCTCTTGACCTCGTGATCCACCCGCCTCAGCCTCCCAAAGTTCTGGGATTACAGGCGTGAGCCACTGCGCCCGGCTTTTTTTTTTTAAATAGAGATGAGGTTTCAGCATGTTGGCCAGGATGGTCTCCATCTCTTGACCTCATGATTCACCCACCTCAGCCTCCTAGAGTGCTAGGATTACAGGTGTCAGCCACTGTGCCTGGCCTATCACCTTTCTTCCAAGCACCTTGAAACATATTATAATATAGTTTGCACATATCTCGAAGCCTCAAAATTCTTTGTCTTCTATATGTTTTTTGCTCCCCTCTCTAACCTAATTAAATAAGGCTTTTGTTTCCCAGCACTTACATTTCCCTCTCCGGGCTATTTTGGGAAACAGTGAAAGAGTTTTGTAAAATTCTTCCAGAGCCTGTGATGCAGTTAATTGGGGAGAAGTGAAGGACTGGAAGAAGGCTAAGGAAAGAGGCCAGGAAAGTAATTAACAGCTGGCTAAAATATCCTGTTTCTAAATACAGTGTGTTGCTGAGTTATAAGGTGATTCAGTGAATCCTTTGTGAAGGTGTCTAGTAGTTTGCCTGGGCTCGATTTCCAATTATGTCATTTGATAAATATTCAAAGGTGTATCAAGTGATCTACAGTATCCCTTCCAGTTTGTAAATATCCTGTGAGTCTTTCACCTTTTTAGTAGGGATAGAAGCCACCCAGGATTCTGACAGATGGTTGACGGACTTTGAGCTCTAGGCGGTCGTGCAAATCTTCCAGGTACTTAGCTCAGGCTCCAAGACAAGTCAAATCCTAGAAGGGGTGTTGTAGCTCCAGGACAGGAGCTGACAGTGGGCACAAAGGTCTCCTGAAGCAGTCTCAGTTTAAAGCAGCAAACCACATCCAAGGGAAAGACTGAGTTAATTATGCTTCCACATCCCAAAGCAAAAAAAAAAAAAAAAAAAAAAAAAAAAAACAACAGGCTGAAGTAGGGAAAGGTAATTCAGCTTTATTTTATCTTATCTTTATTTTTGGAGATCTATGTCTGAGACCAGAACTAGTTTTAGAATTACAGAGTTGACCTTAGATAGCTGACCCCTACGGTATCACCTTCTGTATCTTAAAAAAAAAAAAAAAAAAAAGGCCGGCGCAGTGGCTCACGCCTGTAATCCCAGTACTTTGGGAGGCCGAGGAGGGTGGATCACAAGCTCAAGAGATCGAGACCATCCTGGTCAACATGGTGAAACCCCGTCTCTACTAAAAATACAAAAATTCAGCTGGGCATGGTGGCGCGTGCCTGTAATCCCAGCTACTCAGGAG